CTCCAATGGAGCAAAATCTAAAATTAAGACCTTCACAAGGAAAGCCACTCAAAAATCCATTAGCATACAAAAGATTGATTGGGAAGCTCATATACCTCACAATATCCAGACATGATATTCAATACTCAGTTCACTTTTGAGCTAGTTCATGGATCAACCTAGAAAACCACATTATGAAGCAGCAATGAGAGTGCTTAGATATTTGAAAGGTTCTCCTGGACAAGGATTACTATTTTCATCAGAAAGTGACTTTAGATTGACTGCATATTGTGATGTTGATTAGGGTGGATGTCCAACTACAAGAAGATCAGTGACAGGATATTGCATTTGCATTGGTAGCTCACTTATTTCTTGGAGAACAAAGAAACAAACAACCGTTTCAAGATCTTCTGCTGAGTCAGAATATCAAGCCCTGGCAACAGTAACATGTGAACTAACTTGGCTTAGATATCTGTTGAAAGATCTTGGGATACTGATCAAAGCACCAAGAAACTTGCATTGTGACAACAAGGCAACTCTACACATAGCTACAAATCCAGTTTTCCACGAGAGAACTAAACACATTGAGATGGACTGTCATGTGGTTCGAGACAAGAACAAACTTGGTCAATTAACTACAAAATTTACTGCATCTCAGACACAGGTTGCTGACATATTTACCAAAGCTCTTGGAAGGGGTCCCTTTTATTCACATGAGCAAGTTGGGGACAATCAATATTCATGCTCCAACTTGCGAGGGAGTGTTGAAATGTGTAAATAAATCATAACAGAAAAATTGAGAGCTTCCAAGGACATTAGCTGTGATAGAGATTAGTTTGAATTTAAATTAAAGTAGCTATTTTCGTGGGATTAGTTATGTGAATTCTAGTATATAACCTACACATGTATTTTGTATAACTTAATGAAGTTGAGCATATTTCTCCTTCAATTACTTCAGCTTTTTCTGTAATCACCGGATTTTTCATATATGTATATATCCAAAAACATAAGCAAAGAGTTAAGATGATGATTGAAAAATAGAAATTTTAGAACTGATCAAGAAATTTGGAGATATTATTAATTCGATTTAAAAAATGTTACAAAACAGCAGGGTCAAGCTTCAAGATTTTATGAATTTAAACGGATCTAGGCGTAAAAAAGTATAACGCGTAATTAGAAGACAAGGTCAAACTTCGCATCTAGATGAAACTTGAGTGACCTTTTAAGAACATTGCAGTTTTCTTTTCACCTTTAGATGTAAGTCTTTGTTTTTAAATTTTCAGTGCTTTTTTTTTCTTTTTTTCTTTTTTTTGAGAGATATTTATGTCAAAGCGGTTTACTGGAAAAAAAAAAATTTATTTTTACTTTTGAGTTTGTTTTTTAAGTGAAACTTTTACGAGTTATAAAAATGTTATACCTCGAAGTGCTCTCATAAGCATGCACCAATGATGAATTATTCATTAAGGACTTTTACAATTATATAATTCTTTTGAGTAAATAGAATTTTTTACTATCGCTATTTTCAAACAAATTCATTGTCTTCATTATATTTTGAGAAGTGAAAATTTAATTTTCAGTTAAAGGAAAGATATATGAGAAGCGACTTGCGAGCCGACTCGTCTCACCAAAAGATGAATTGGCAGATGAACCCAGCCAAGATTTTGTGAACGGAACCAGCTCATGCTCGGCTCGCCCCATTTGTGAGCACAAGCTGGCTCACTGTGGGCCGAGCCGAGCTCGAAAGTGAGTGAAACATCCCTACCATCAAGAACAATATCCTAATCCAAATATCAAGCAGAATGAAAGTAATTTATCCTCCAATGCCAAAAAATAATCAGAACTCACAAACTGTTAACATCTGCTTGTAAGTTCTCTCGCAGTACCCCGAACTAATGGTTCCTGCAATTTCGGTTCTTTCTATACAAATTCCAACTGGAGGCTTAAAGATGCAAATTCATTTTAGAAACTTCAATGGTGACCATAACTGTCACTAAACCTTCTAACTTTCTAACTTCGATTAATCATAACAAAGGTAAAAAGAAAAAGAATTGGAAGTTCATCTAGGAGAACGATCAGAATCACCCGAAATCTTCGATGACTTGTTCTTCAAATCAGCTATTTCCTCTTCTTGCTGTTTCTTTAGATACCTTTGTGCAGTTGCATTCACAATCTTAACGAAAAAACCAATCAGCATGAACCATACTATGGTATTCCATATGAAAGCAACTGAGAAATCCCATTTCTTCGCCTGATAAGAGGACATAAATTGTTAGCATGAATGTAAATACAGCATGTCAACTGGAAGAGTTTGAAACGAGGAATACCTCAATCTTTGAAGAAACGTTTGGTTTCATTGCCATGTACTTGTCTTTCATGGAATGAAGCTTGGCGATTAGGTTGGGTAGGATAGAGTTGAACCCAGGTACAAAACTGAACACCCAAATCAATTCATTTTCTATCCAGTTGAGAAGTTGATTGTTGCACACACAAATAATAAACACTGTCTGCAGAAGATTTTAAGTAACATTTATGAGAATTATCATCTAGTTTTAAAGCTTAGCAGCAGAAGTGATGAAGAACAATAGAATATTTATTAGGAGTGGCCAAACACCGATCCAGTCCGGTTCTGACCCGATGGATTTTCTGCAGACCCAGATTGAATCTGTAATAATTGGAAATTTTACACATGGAGCCATTATTTCCATGTGCTGTATACAAGAACCAAACCAAACCCAAGCTTAGTCTGGTCCTTCAAACAGGCAATGGTGCATTCATCATTTTAGAGAACACTAAACCATCTATGACATTAGTACAGTCCTCCACCAAACAATTTTTTTTTTTCTTCACCAAATCTGTCTTATCCCTGTATTTTTTTTTACCCGCCCCTAAAATTTTTACAAACTGCCCTTAGGCGGGGTACTTGCAAACCTGTATGTGAGTTTTGATGATTGCTTTCCCTATCAATGTTGCCAGAAAAAACTCCCAAAAAGGAATGCCAAATTGTCCACACATGATTCCTGCAAGATCAAATAAAGGATTTGGCACCTGCAAAATATACCAGTTCGTCAAGAAGTGCAAATAAACCTTGAAACTAGACACTCTCCCTGGGATTTCACCAAGGAGAAAATGAGCATCTACTTTGCCATTTTCTCAGCATATTAGGCTGGTTCTTAAAAGTAAGTTGATAGGCCCCCAATCCGATTCACCTATCGAGAAAAGGGAAAAAGAAGGGCACATCCAATATAGAAGGTGGCTAGGACATTTAGTTATTAGCCAGGGGTAAAAGGGGTAATAACTTGTAGTAGGAATTCCAATAAATAGAAGGTGGTTGGCAAGTCTATGGCAGGAAACCACTGGGAATTCAGTTGGGGGGGGGAGAGACCGGGCCTCTCTAATAGCCTTGGAATTTGTTATTTCCATTCATGTGTGTGCATGTGGCTCATATAGAGTGGAACACAGGGCTTGGATCAAATGGGCTGATGTTGGCGCGGGTTTAATTCACTGTCTAATTATTAGGGATGCTGAATGGGCTCGTTGCCCCCGCGGTACGGTACAGGGGTATTTTCTGTATGAGCTTTAAAATTTTATATGGGCTCAGGCTAGGGTTAGTATAAATAATATGTTGTAACCCTATTTTTTACAACTGAATAAAGAAATCTCCGCTTCGCTCTCGTGGACGTAGGCACATCGCCGAACCACGTAAAATTCTTGTGTTGATTTCCGTTTTTCATCTCTTTAATATTGCGCATAAAATCCAACAATTCAGTTGAATATAAAGAATTCAGTTCAGTATCCTTATCTTCTATAATCATAGCTACAGATTCATATACATTCTTATAGAATACTTCTTTCTTTTGAATTCACTCAATGATCCCTCCTCACTCTCGTGTCTCAGACGAGGAAGCATCATGCAGGAGGCACTACAGGTCATTTTCATCAACATCAGACCAGCAGCAATCTCACGTTCTTAACATTTTGGTATCAGAGCATTCGGTTCTGGGAATATGACACTCACAGATCGAGTTGGGGAGTTGGCAGCAAGGTTTGACGCGTTACAAGAGGAAGTCGGGGTGATGAAATCGGATCTCCATAAGGACATGGCGGTGTTACTGGAGAAATTTGATGTGATGATGAAAAAGTGGGATGTACAAGAGCGCGACCGGAAGGAAAAGGGAAATTCACCTGGTTCGACAGAGCCAGCTATGAGTTCTGACGCTCCGCTCAAAACTCAGGAAACGGGGGGCGTTGTGAAAGGACGGTTGCGGCATGAAGAGATGGGGAAATGGGAGAACCGCAGCCGCCGGTTGGAAATGCCGGTGTTCAATGGAGAAGACCCAGATGGGTGGATTTTTCGAGTCGAAAGATACTTTAATATGAACCAGTTCACGAACTGGGAGAAGGTGGAGGCCGCCGGAATTTGTCTTGAGGGGGAAGCACTCGCATGGTTCCTTTGCGAAAACGGCCGGCAACCTCTGTCGAGCTGGGA